CTCTTTCCCCCTTCACTTGCACACACACGTCAGCTGAGAAGAGTTTCCTGAAGGCTGACTTCTACCTTCAGATTCTCGGGTTGATCCAGCCCTTACGAGCAAAGAGCCTTCCAGTCTCCTCCTTGCCATCACTCAAACCTGTCACTCACAAATGCATATTTGCCAAGGATATTACGTGGGAGAGGCTGCTTGACTGACAGTCAGCCTTGGGCCCACATGCAAGGTGTCATTAAGAGGCCCTTCTCAAACCTTAGTGGAGGACAGTCAGCTCTGTTCATGCAATGCACTGATTCTCGGTTTCATTTTCTTTCTGGGGATAAACTCAGTATCTCATCCCCTGATCATCATCTCCAGTTTAGGACAGTGGAGTACTCACAAGGAGGCAGCTCTGAAACACTGTTGTCTGTCAGCAGCTCAGAGGTCCTAAAGCACTTGGAGGTTCTGAAGATGTATTAGCCTGTTAACAGCAAGAAAGAAAAGATAAGGTGGACAGTTCTCCAAGCCTTCTCTTAGGAAGACTTTCCAAGCCGCAACCCTACTGGCTGCCAGAGGACTTGCATGACCCCCCAGATTCTGTGCCAACCACCTTTTAAGGGAAGACTGTCCTTGGGAAGTCCATTCTGGTGGCTGAATTGGGGTGTTATGAAAGGGAGAGATCAACGACTGTAAATAGTAAGGCTCTGAAGATGGAGGGTATCAGCTGCTAGTCCTGGCTTCAGCATGTCGAGTCACTGCCTAGACAGTTCTCTTGGCCTTCTTCCCACCTTGGCCAATGCTTCAGTGCTATTTGTTGAAAATAATTCTTCGAGACAGATTTCGGCTACCTCCCTTCCAGGTTTGATTTAACTTGGTTCTAACTGTCAATTTGTTATAGGTCTTACCTGTGTTAAGGAAGGAAAGAAAGAGAGGAAGAAAGAGAAATAGAGAAAGGAAGGAAGGAAACCGTAAATTCAAGTGAACAGTTTTGAGGTTTTGTGTTTTGTTGTTTGTTTTTTTCTGGAACTACTTCAAGTGGGAAAATAAAAAGAAGAAACCGATGGTGACAGGGCTGTACAGATAGAGATTAATAGAAGATAAGGAGATGAAAAGTAAATAAAATGCATGATTAAAAATAAGAATTTTTTAAAAACCCTATTTTTGTGCTTTCTGAAGGACATTGTTTATTCTGCAGACTCAGTAGGTAGACACAAGCATAAAGGTTTCCCTAGCAGGAGTAGAGTGGGATTTTATATTGCTGTCTGTTTTTTTCTGTACATTGTGGTAGGTCCAGGAAATAAGGCATCTTTCCCCTTAATATGTAGTTGTTGTTTGGCGGGGGGGGGGGGGGGGGGGGGGGGGGGGGGCACCACAAGGGGGGGGGGGGGGGCATTTTGTCTATTTGTTTGGTGTCCATCAGTGATAGCAGGGAATGGGGAGGGCTTGAAACTGGTTTTTCCAAATATTAAGGGGACATATTGTGTCACACTTTTCACATTATAAAATGTTGGTATTTACCATTAGAGCACTGGGCTTTATAAAGTCTGCACTTAGAATCACACTGCACAGTCCACTTTCCTAAAAAGCTGCTACGTGACCAGACAGGTAATTCCCATGGTTTTTGAGAAACAGAACAAACAAAGCAAACAACAAACATAAAACTAAAAAGCAAAGGAATAAAAGCCTGTTCTTGTAATTTGCTCAAGTTTCGCCAAATTCCTACCCATTGTTTGATCTTTAAAAGAAATGTGTAATAGCCAAGAGAGGAATTATGTCCCTAGAGTAAGAACACAGAATTCTTGACTCCAGGCAGCAGTTTGCTCAGTGATCTTGAACAAGTCATCATATTGCTTCTCCATTTGCCTCAGTTTCTCCAGCTGCAAAATGGGGATAATACTACTTACCTACCTCACAGTGGGAGGGCGGGGATTGTGAGGCCCTGAGGTTTTAAAGGGGCTGTGGCAATCTGTGAGAGCCCAGGCTTGACACAAAGTCTATGGGTTACTTTTCAAGAATGCACAGGCCCATTGGCCACTTAAGAAAGACAGGGAGTGCTCATTTGATATATCAAGGAATAAAGGTGGAGCTCCTAGATTAGAATCCACCTTGAGAGAGAGGCTTGCATTGGAGAATATTTCACTTGTAGATAAATTGGACTTTCTCCCCCTTATTCTGGCCTTTACCGGTTCTATAATTTGATTTTAAAAATTTTTTTAAAAAAGAAAGAAAACAGTGACTTCCTACAGTGTAAAAGTCAGCTTACTGCTTGTTCAAGACTTCTGGGCCATTTCCAACTTTATAGAGGAAGGGAGTCCCTAAAATCGCTTTTTCTTCTCAGACTTAAAATTCCACATCGAGTGTTCCATTAAAAAAAAGATACAGCACCTGAGTGCAAAGTCGGGGCTTCTTAAACTCTACACCAGCAGTCATTGAGGAGAAGTTTGAACAATTATTGACTTGCTTCCTTGGGTCTCTGTAATCAATAACCTGTCCGCAGATATCTATCTAT